AGAATCTGCACTTCAACCGTATCATGCTGATCCAGCAGAAAACTCTCTTGCTCTTTTCCAGCTTCTCATCAATTCTGCAGGGGAAAAGATACAGTATAAACATTCCAATGTTTTCCATTAAGTTAATAAAATGAAATTTTCATAATGTATGTTTAAAATTACCCTGCATAAAAGTATCCTTACATCTAATACAAAGGTGTTTTAAATAAAATCAGTCTTTTGAAAATAAGAAAATACTGGGTCATGGCTCAAGCAGTAGTAGAGTGCCTGTCTAGCAAGCACAAAGCCCTGAGTTCAAACACCAGCACCACTGTACAGTTTTCATAGCCATAAATGTAACTCTCTGACAAATATAGAAATCAAAGTATTTATTCAATTAGTCAGTGATGGAAGAGGTACAACTGTAAGGTTGACAAGTAGGGTTGACATTTGACAAGTAGGGTTTGTATTGTCCTAGAGAGAAGACAGTGTATGGTAAGTATGCTATGGTCCAGAAATCCCACTATCAGAATATGACCAAAGGAAATGAAATCACTATGTCAAAGTCCCATCTGCCGTCCCAAGTTCACTACAGCCTATTCACAATAATCAATACATGGAATCAACCTAGGTATCTATAGATGAATGAATCAATTTTTTAAATTAGCATGTATACACAGTGGAATTTCACCCCACTGTAAAGAATGAAATCCTGCATTTGTGGCAACATAGATGGCCTAGAGGACATTGTGCTAAATGAAATAGCTAAGCACAGAAAGAAAAATATTGTTTGGTGCAACTCATATGTGGAAGTTTAAAAAGTTGATCTCATACTGTGGTAGGAAAGCAGGAAGGGGAAAGAGAGATTAATGAGTGCTACAGTGAAAGGAAAAAAAAACAGAGTTGGGGAATGTTCCCTGGAGACCATAAAAGGATCACCTGGCTCCAGAGGTGAACATGACTATGTATGGGACAAGCTGTAACACCCCCCTCCTCACTTCTGTAACTTGCTCTAAATGGTATATAAGGAAAGCCCCCTTTGTTCCCAAGGCTCAGCCTTTGGACTCGAGTCTGCTGAGTTGCTACTGTCATGTTTAACAAACTGCTTCCTGAAAGCTATGGTGCCCTCTCAGTCTCTGTCTGAACCTCCTGCAACAACACAAGTAGAAATAAGAACAAAGGTCTCCAGAGGGTAAAGAGAGAGAATAAGATGGGTAATGGCTACCAAAAAGTTAGACAAGAGTAATACTCTTTCATGTTCTATAACACAGCAGGGTGACTACAGTTAACAACAATTTATAGTATTTGAAAACACCTTGATTTGGTGATTACACATTATACAAATATATCAAAATATCATACCATACCTTATAAATATGTACAATTATGTGTCAAGTAAGCAATTAAAAAGAAAAACACAGGGTCAGACATAATGGTGCACACCTGTAACCCCAGCTACTCAGGAGAAAAGTAGGAGAATCACAGTCCCACACCAGGCCAGGTGAGACCTACCTGAAAAACAGTAAAAGAGAAAGAACTGAGGGCATGGCTCAAGTGGTACAGAGCTTTCCTAGGAAGCAGAAGGCCCTGAGTTCAAGCCCCAGTACCACAAAAAAATAAACAAAAAAATCTGAATAAGAGAAAAAATCTGGTTAATGTCCTATGGAGTAACAAAACTGTAGCCATTAGGGTTATCTTTTCTTCTAAAGTTATCTTTTCTTCTAAACTGATAGTATATAAATTCGCAGAAAACAAACCTTTAATTTCTCGCTTAAAAAAGCCAAATGCAGATACATTCCCAAGATATGACATAATCTTTGTATGAGCCTACAGCAAGTGGGAGTGGCAGATGGTACTAGGTATTGAACTCAGGGCCTCACACTTGCTAGGCAAGCACTCTACCACTTGAGCCACAGCTCTAACACTTTTTGCTTTATTTTCACAGGAGGTCTCTTGTTTTTTCCCCCTCTGGCCAGCCTCAGACCATCATCCTCTTACATATGCCTCTGGCATAGCAAGGATTATAGCCACGTACCACCACAGGTGGCTTATTTGTTGAGATGGGGTCTTGTTGACTTTTTTCCAAAGTTGGCCTCGAAAGTCCATTCCCATCTCTTAAATTGCTGGGATTATGGCATGTGTCACTATGCCTAGCTATGTATGAGCCTATTCTTAATCCAGTATGACACTGAAAGGGCATAAAACACAACATTTTGCCTCTTTTTAGGTTTTAAATAGATTTTCCTGACAATATAAAAAGCAGAATCCCCAGTGAATTCTGCATCTCAGTCTTGCTGGGGACCGTCTCCCACATTTTTCTTCCTTAGCTCTTCTGCCTCAGCCCATGAAGTAGTATCTCCTGTCTATGTCTGCAATTTCTGCATTTTTGGGTGGTACTGGGTTTTGAACTCAGGGCCTTGTTCTACTTCTTGAACTACGTCTTTGGCCCTTTTGACCATCAGGTGGTTTTTCAGTTGTGGGTCCCCTATTTTTTGCCTGGGGCTGGCGGTGGACTGCAATCCTCCTACCTATGCTTCACTTGTAACTGGGATTACAGCATGAGCCAACATGCTGTGCTTGTTTGTTGAGATGGGGGTTGGGCTAACTTTTTGCCCAGGCTAGCCTTGAGTTTTGATCCTCCTGAACTCTGCCTCCTGAGTAGCTCAGATTCTGTATAAGTAATACCTGCCACTACAGTCCTATTTCTGCATTTTTGAGGGCTTAAAAAAAACAATTTTAGTAATTAACTATATTTACCTGTTATTCTTGTTTTTTTTCTGCATAGGGGATTGTACCCAGGATCCCATGAGAAAATTCTTTTTATTAACATTTTCTGTCAAATGACTGTTGTGGTTTCTATCTAACTGGACTTTGTAACTTAGTATCTTACAGGAGAGCCATAAGTTGCTCACTGCATGTGGAGAGGACAACTGGAGAATTACAAATGTATCAAGTTGTTCACTCCAACAATAAGTCAATACAAATACATTGAGTTCCTTGTGTGGGTTTTAAGCATTTTCCGTCTTCAATTTAGTGTTTGCTTTTGTGATATTATATTATTTTTGAATGAGCTACAGGCACAGTTCATTCAACACAGAGGGAAAAGGATGGTAGTAAGATCATATGAGTTTCAGCCACGGAAAGTAGGAGACCTCTTTAGCTAGTGGACCTGCTGCCTAAGGAATTCCAGAAAGAGTGACTAATGTCACTGCTACTGGTAGAGCTTTGTCGGCATGGAGTGATTGACAAGTGACCTAGGCATGCATATTGCAATGTGTTTAATTTTTGAAGTTAACATTTATGAACATTGTAAGTGCTTTTCTGAGCTTTTTAATATTGTTGTTAGGGAAGAGCCTGAGTTCAAACCCCAGTACCACACACACACACACACACACACACACACACACACAAATGTTAGGAAAAACCTTTAAATACACACAAGGAAGACTTTTCTCCTGGCTGCATTTGTTTCATCCAAATCCACAGAATGGATCTTCCACTTCCCGCTTTCCTTGCTTTTGAATAGAACTCACTTTCCTTCTCCAAAGGCCTCTTGACTCTTCTCCAGAATTCTATGACACTATGACTCATGAGAAGGTTGAAAGGGATGTGTAATAATCCTATTAAATGGTATCTTTTTTCTCTCCTTCTCAACACCTGAAGATCAATTCTGACACAAAATATGTGGGGGTTTCCACATCAAATAATTCTCCAGTGCTATGAACACATGGGTGGAATGTCCTCTATTTTATTTCTTCTTTTGTTTTGTTTTGTTTTGTGGTATTGGGATTTCAATCAAGGCCACACGCTTGCTAGGAAATTGCTCTACCACCTAAGCAACACACCCAGACTCAATTTTAATTCAATGAAGCAATTAGCATGGACCCCAAGGATTAAGGGCTCAGTCCTACAAGTCTGCCCCCACCACTTCGATGCTAATCACACGTGGGTCTTTAGGTTGCCCACATATACTTTTCATGGACTACATATAAACCAGAAGTTCCCAAGATTCTTTTTCAGGTTGGCTGATTTTCTAGCACGGCTCACAAAACCAAGGGAGATGCTTCATTTAGTAACCAGTTTCTTATAAATATATATGTATACATTGTAAAGACTGAAAACAAATAGCCAGTGAAGATGTACACAGGGTGAGTCCAGAGAGTCTCAAGTACAGGAATATGGAATCCTCATGGAGCTTCAGGGGTGCCACCCTCCTGACACATGGATGCATTCTTCTTCACCAACCAGAAGCTTCCTGAAACACATCCTTTAGCAGTTTTGTAGAGATTTTACTGTGTAGGCACATTAATTAAAGCATCAGACATTAGTGATTATTAACTCACCTCAAGCCAGATGCCCTCCCTTGTTCCAACTCTCTAATCACAAGATCAGTTTCCCTGGTAACCTGCCCTCATCTGCAGGTTTCCTAGGGCTTTCCAAAAGTCACCTCATTAACATAAACTCAGATGTCCTTGAAAAGGGCTAGTAGGAATTACACTTTCTCACTGGCTACAAAAATTTACTGAAGTCTGGAAAAGTATTTGTGTTCCATTTATTCCTCCCCATAAAAAGAGTTATTTTAAATATTGCATCATCATCCATTTCCCTGGAAATTTTTGGATGACAAACTTCGGTCATCAGACAATGCAAACAGGGATCAACTGAAACCTCCAGGTCCCTCTGCACACATCAAGGAGGACAAAGTGAGGTCCCCTTTGGTGTACACTGTACTTCAGCCCTCTCAGCCCCTTTCACACCAAATACTACAAAAACCCTATGTAACATCTTTTAATACCATAAGAAAAATGACTTCCCATACTTAAAGTCAGCCTTCTCTAAACCAGTTCAAAAAGTCAGCTTTTATCTTCTGCTGTCTTAACACAAGGAAAAAGCAACAAGTCTCATACCCACACACCCAGGACTGTGAACAAGAAGGAACAGAACAAGGCTTCTGGGCCACTCATCACAGGGGCTTTTTGCCACAGGGAATCTATAGCCCCACCAAGAGCCACAGTGGGGTGTCAGGGAGAGGGATAAACCCTATGGTGACACAGCTTTGAGGTGACAAGGGAGTAGTGGAGATTCAACCCCTGAGGGATCCACAGCAACACCAGAGCCTGAGCTGAAACCTTCCTCTGGGGACTCAAACTCTCCTCCAAAGAAGAACTGTCAACAGGCACAGGGAGCCTCTCAGAACCACTCGCCATGGAGCAGATGGTCAGAGACACATCTCCAGCCCTAAAACAGAAGTATGGAAAGACAGTCCCACAGAATGAAATCTCAGAGAAGGAGAAAATGTGGGACCCATCAGTCATGTTATAGAAGGAGACATCACCTTCACTGTAATCCAGGAAAACACCCACCCTGCAGGGATCCTGCCTAAGGGATAAGGGAGTCTTAGGTTTCCATACAGGCATGATATCCATCTTCAAACCGCCCCACAACCCAAAACCCCTTCTCCGGGCACTCTCTGTACCAGCTTTTCCTTTCTGCATCCTCCCTACAGACCCCCAGAGTCCACTCATTTCTGTTCCCTTTCTCAATCTCCACCTCCCAGTGACACCTTCCTGATGTGATGCCTTCAAGCCCCAACACACTGAACAGTCCATCAGAGTTCCCACTGTTTTCCTTCCAGGTCAAGTGTTTCCTTTCATGAGAGATGGCAAGGTTTGAGTGAGCAGAATCTGGATCCAGCGTGACAGACCCTGGAGAGAGAGTTACCAATCATGCAAGGTCCCTCCTGACCCAAATGAGGCACACAGTTACCCCACCACGCCTCCAAGCAATTAGGCTGTCTCGCGGAGGGATAATCCCAACTAGAGAAAAGAGACTTGTGACTCAAACCAATAACCTCCATGTGGAAAAAGAGATCAGAAGTCTGATTTGGGTGTTAATATATCACAAGAGCTGAATTATTGCACAGAACAAAGGGGATCTAACTTTATCTCCTTAAAAGTATTCCAGGTAACCAGTCTGAGCTTTGTGACAATTACCTCTGCCACCCCCAACTCTATTGAAGGTGCCAGCATCTGTATCACCACACAGAACTTAAGGAGAGGTCAGAACCATGGAGGAAGCAGGAGGAGTACCCAGAAAGAACATGAAATCACTCACATGCCTGGAACATTTCCTTCCTCCAATCTACAAGAGAATCACATATTTTCTGTCAGGGATTTGCAGAGACTGTGCATATCTGGGTCAGCACCCAATCTTTTGAAACAAAGAAATGGAGGAGTGACAGAGGAAAATGTGTTTGAAAACATTCAACTAATGTATTTATTTATTTCTCTGGGTTTTTTTTGTTGTTGTTGTTATTCTTGGATTTGAACTCGGGGCCTATTCCTTGAACCATTCCATCAACCTTTTTTGTGAAGGTTTTTTTTCAAGATAGGGTCTCACAAACTAATTGCCTAGGCTGGCTTTGAACCAAGATCCTCCTGATCTCTGCCTCCTGCTAGCTAGGATTACAGCCATGATGTCTGGCTGATGTACTAATTTCTTGAACACACACACACTGCTGCAGCCACAGACTTCCACAAAGACTAGGCGATAAAGCTTTACAACTCTGGATTGAGATAAAATACCAACATAAACAGGAAACTCAATGTCCAGATTTCTCTACCACACCCCCAATCAGATATTTAAGACCCTTGGATTGGTATGTATTAAGAAGTGGCAAGTCCCATCTGGACACTTGGGAATGTTTTTGTCCCCTTCCCTTGATCCTCAGTTGAAGGCCACGGTCCAGGTACCTTTTGCTTGTTGCAAAATTGGTACACCATGTGGCATCTTCCTCTTGACCCACACATTCCCTGGTTCACTAGCTGTCTGGCCACCTGTCTGTCTCTCCCCATCTTAGCAGAGCCTGTGGGATTATCTTGGTCCTCAGCACTTCACATACAGGTGATAGGGAATCTCAAGCTTTCTTCAGACACCTTCCCTTGTCAGTGCCCGATTCCACGTTGTATATGGCACCTAACCTTATGTGGACACTGAGGAGGGCTGTTCTGTCTGCAATAAGGAATCACCACAAATATTAGTGGCTTAAACCTGCGTGAGTTTATTATCTTAGAGCTCCGTCGGTTAGAAATCCAAGCAGGTGAGGACAAAGCTGCGTTCCTCTCGGGAGGTTACTGTCCAGTTTCTAGAAGCCATCTGCATTCCTTGTTCTGCAGGCCCATTGCTCCACCTTTAAACAGAACCACTGCATGTCTGTGACCCTGGTTCTGCCTGTGATGGTTTCTGTTTGTGTGACTAGAGCCAAGAAAGTCTCTGCTTTCGTGGGTCCATGCAATTGGTTTAGGCTCACCTGGATAATCCAGGAAAATCTCTTCATTTCAATAACTTTAATCATAATCACATTTGTAAGTCCCCTTGCCACGTATTTAATATTTTCATCCATTTGGAGCTTAGGACATGGACGTCGTTGGGGGCCTAGCATAGCAAGGTTTCTCCTAGAAGCTTTTTGGTGGATGCAAATGACTTGATCCAATATTTTTGGTGCTTCTACAAATATGGGAGTACTTTTCCACCCATCAGCCTTTCAAATGGGAAGAGAAGTCACTAGTGTCTGGCCTCTGAATCGATACATGCACCTCCCACTTTGAACTTCTTTTCCTCCAATCCTAGAAGCCTCTCCATTGCCTCCTAACTGGGCAAGATTTCTCTGATTCTGCATTCTGACTTCCAGTCACTCATGATTGACATTCACCCTCCACATTCACCTCAGCCAGATGTCATTCTTTCTCTAATCATGCTTTCAACTACCTACAAGTCCAGCTTGGGCAGTTCTTCATAAATTATTCGTAGGAAATTTTCATTTTATATCTCAAGAAACCCTAGTTTTCAGGACGGTTGTGTGGCTGGCAGTGTGGCTCAAGTGTTAGGCTTGAAGCCTTGGGCCCTCTCCTTTCTTTCTCATCTCCTATCTTCTCTCTCTTCATGATGAGGTTTTTTTCTGAATTGTTTCCCACCCTTACACAGGTTAATTATTTTTTTTTGGGGGGGGGAAGGGACTGGGGTTTGAACTCAGGGCTTCATACTTGCAAAGCAGGTGCTCTACCACTTGAGCCACACTTGCTGTCTATTTTTATGTGTTTATTTTGGAGATGGGGTCTCACGACTTTTTGCCTCGACTAGCCTAGAACCATGATCTCCTGATATCAGCCTCTCAAATAGCTAGGATTATAGGCATAAGCCACCATACCTGGCACATCTATTTCTTTCTTTCTTTTCTTTCTTTTTTTTTTTTTTTGTTCCTTTTTTACCAGGACTGGGGTTTAAACTCAGGGCCTACCATTTGAGCCACTAAGTCAGTCACAGGTTAACAGTATTTACTCTTGTGTTTCTCCTTTTACACTCTTCACATATCCCACAAAATCCCAACAGCCAAACAAAACAAAATTCTAAAAATGGAGAAATTGGTTGTAAAATTTAAGTTACATTCCTATATCTGTAACACAAACAAAAACACAAAATGTTGCATACAATTTCAGGAGGATCACAGACTCTAAGACCAGGCCATAAACATCCAAGAGACTCTGGACCCCAGATTCAGAACATCTGCAAAGCACCTACTTGCTCGGCAATCATGGGTGCTTAGAGAGCAAATATAGATAGGACAATGAATCAGAGAATAACCAAAAAGAAAGAAGACCAGGAAGAAACAAGAACCTGGGACAAAAAGGTAAAAGGAATACAGAACCCAGGAACCTTTACAAAGGGGTGAGTCCTAAGCTGTCTAGTATAATGTCTGAAATCTTTAGAGACCAGCAACTCCTGATCTACACGGTCATTGCCCTGTTCTGTGTAGTCTCTCCTCACTACAGAACTCCCCACTGTCATTGCACCAACAGGAAGTTTCAGATGAACAAAGTATTTGCAGAGGGTATTGACAACCCTAACAATGACCTGCAATAGAAGAAGAACCCAGAATAGAGGCAGATCTGTGATCCAAAGAAGTCCCTGCAATCTTCTGACGAAGGATACAATAGTGACAAGAACAGTAGGGACACACATCCCATCTACAGTGGAGGCTACTGACAGAGAAGGAAACAGCAGAAGCTGGGGGAGGTAAGGTCAGAGGAGACATGAGAGTCACTGACCTGCGTATAGCTGGGCCTTCTTCCATGCTGAAAAAGAACACACCATGGTGAGAACTCAGCCAGAACAACCCTGTTCTCCACAGATCTACTGGCCTTTTCCTCCACTCTGTTCTAAAGGTGAGGCTATACCCAGGGTGAGGAAGACCAGAAAGGAGGTGGCCTCCTGCAACACAGAGACAGAAGGGTGTGATGGGGAATTCCCTGATCCACAGATCAGTTGGGCTGCCTTAAAGGCCAAGTTCACCACTGTCCCATTCCTATGTCATTTTGGGCTATCAAATAGTTGTCTGTTCCCCAAAACCCACAAAAATACATATTCTATCTTTATTAAGTTTTGCCTGTATGAATCAAGATTGTATACTATGTGTGAAAACATTTAGGGAATAAAACATAAGTACTTGCAGAATTATCAGAAAACTTTCATTGGGCCCTTTTTGGTAAAGATATACTTGGAAAATGCCTGAAAAGGAGTGAGACAGACTCAGGACAAGGATGTAAGGTGAGTTCTGGACTAAAGTTCTCAGTCTTTCACAGGTAAAGTATTTCTGGAAATAAGCATCACGATGCCAGGGAGCACTCATCTCATCCAATCACATTCCCGTCCACCCTCAGTAGCCCAGTCCTCTGCCCCGCACTATGATCAGCACCTTTAGGAGCTGGAGAGAAGACCCGCCCAGGATAGTGATGGGCAAGAGAGGAAGGATAAAGTGAGGGTCAGACTCCTGAACTTAATGACCCCACTTTCTTTTACAGATCACCTAATGAATTCTCAGTATCTGTCTTTGTGTGTGTGTGTGTGGTACTGCAGCTTGAACTCTGGACCTTCACCTTGAAACACTCCACCAGCCCTTTTTTGTGATAGGATTTTTCAAGATAGGGTCTTACGAACTATATTGCCCAGGCTGGCTTCGAACCATGATCCTCCTGATCTCTGCCTCCTGAAGAGCTAGGATTACAGGTGTGAACACCAGTGCCCAGCCTCAGTATCTGTCTATTGAAGGCCAAAACATAATGCATTAAAGGCTAAAAAAGCAGACTGGGATTGGAATAAAGCCCTGGATGCCTGACTGACTCCAAGGGTCACCATCCAACACAGGTCCCCCAACTCTGGGTGGGAAAGCAGCAGCCAAAATCAAAGACAGCCCAAGGACCAGGGTACCCACACACACCAGGTTCCATTGCTGCCCCAGGTAAAGAGGGCCATATGTATATGCCTAGACGAAAACAAGAAGAGGAGACACCTGTTCACAGTTGAGATGAGGAATAAAGGAACACCGGGAGAGTCTCTTACCCACAAGGTATGCACTCTTCCTCTGACCTGAAAAGGTACACAAGGAACAGGTGAGCTACAAAGCAGAATATCTGGGATTAGGGGGAGATAGGGGGTTAATAAGGGAAAGCTGGCTTACCAAGATCTGCCTGGAGTTCACCTGAAAAACAGTGAGAAACAGCATGATTTCCCTTCCCTGAGAAAAGGAGACACTTTTCCTGGAAAACACACAAAAACATACTTTTCCCTCCTGGAAGTTCTAACTGCTGAACACCTGAGCCCCCAGAATCCCAGCTATCCTCTCTGGATATCCTCAGCCACCTGAGGGCCCAGAACTCAGGATCTCCCTGGAGTACTGGACTCACAGACTATGGCCCTGCCAGCTTGTCCCTCTCAGCACCACCTCTGCACTTGCCCAGCCTTGGCCCTGTCCCATCTTACCAATGGCTTTTTGCTCCTTCTCCTTTGTCTGTTGGTCCTCCTCCTTAGCCCTCTGCAGATTCACCTGTTCCTGATACACCTGCACCTTCGTAGAATGTTCTCTTTTGAGAAAATAGCCAGCCCCAAAGAGTAGGAGTCCAAGCAAAGTCAAGCTCACAATGAAAGCTGGCTTCCCAGGAGAGGCCTGAGGGAAGAAGGGCTCTGTGGCCCAGGAAAAGACTCATCAGGGGAACATCCCAGGACACCCAGCCCAACACACTTGGAAATGCCATTCTCTCCCTCAGCTCTGCTGTGAGTGCAGAGCAGCACTGACCTGGGATGAAAATGGCCATGGCCTTCTCCTGGCCCAGGATGGGGTTGAGGATGGAGCAGGTCACGTTCCCCACAGAGCTGTCTCTCACCACCAGAGTGACCTCCACACTGAACAGCTCTTTAGCATCTTGCCTATAGGCCTCAGAGAATGTCAGGAACTTCTTTCCACTGAGGCCTCTCCACTGCACCTGGGGCTTTGGGAACCACCCCGAGGCAGTGCACACCACTCGAACTCCATCCTCTTCTGGCCCTTGGATGTGCACTTCAGGAGCAGAGCCCATCCCTGTGGGAGAGAAGCTATGGGAGGCACTTGGAAACCACCTTGGGCTCAGGGACCCCAGAAGTGTCTCCATGTTGCACAACTCAAGGGAGAGCTTTTCACATTACATTCTGGGGATCTATAGGAGGGTGTCCCCTGAAAGAGAGCAAGGTAGAGGTCCTAACACAGGGAGCAGAAGGAAGGCGCACAGGGTCCCCTACAGGCACACAGAACACAGAGGGCTCTTATCCCCAACCATGAGGCCCAGTGAATAGCAGACAGAATTTGGTCTCGGGATATATCCTTGAATCTCCAGTTCCTGAACTCTCCTGGAACATCTGCTTCCTCACCCACTGATTCTCCATGTAAATCACTTCCCAAATTATACTGAGTGACCACCCTGTTTCTCTTCCCTTATACACACATCCCTGTGAGATATCTCTACCACAGTATCTCGTACAAACTTCAAATTCAAAATTTTAGAACTGAAGTCAAAATTTTGTCCATTCTGTGATATAAAAATTATTAAATTAGCCCCAATTCTTCCTTCTTCATATCCTTCTTTTCCTATTCTCAACTTTCCTGCTTTTACCCTAATCTCTATCGCTTGAGCTCTCTCACAAATAGAAGAGTAATTGCAGGCAACATTAGCCAAGTTCAGCCCAAATTAGTTGAACATCACTGTCTGAATTAAATAAATGCTATAGTTATAAATCACTGAGATTGCTGCTATGTGCACCATCATTACTGCTGTATGTAACTGACATAAAATTATCAGTATTCCTACTAATAAATAACAAATATCAAAAACCCTGGGAGTCTCTGAAGTCCCCTCTTCTTCCAAACTCCATGACCCCAAATCTACTCAGTTGAATCTAGTTTCTAAACCTCTCTCTCTGACCTTTCCTCTCCTACACCATTGCTGACTGAGGTCAGGCGGTCATCCGCTCCACCTAGTAACTGCATTCCATGCCTCTTTCTTGCTCGCCTTCTTGTCATCCTCCTCAAAGCTGCCAACATGGGCATCCCCAGAACTGCTCTGTGTAAAGGTTCCTCAGCTCTGCATCCCAACCCACAAGACACACACACACACACACACACACACACACACAGCCTTTGAAGATCTGAGCCTCCTCTCCGACCTCCTTCTCAATACTTCTCCCCAAATTCTACCACTTGTGCCCCCCTAGGGACCCACGTTCAGCCCCAGAGACTATTTGGTGAACAGCTAATAGCCACAATCATCTGTTCTGTGTTCCCTGCTCTTTCAGACTCCACTTCATCAACCTCAAGGACCCCATGCAATCTTAGCTTCTGAGCTCTTGCACCAGGTCAAGTCTACTCCTAATTCCTTGTCCTGATGTGAGTGGGCAGGCAGTGTTAACCCAGGATCACCTCTTTATTTCACTATTGTCACTTCTTACATTCTCCCTCTCCTCCCAATAACCACGGTGGCCTCATTAGACCCAGAATACATCAGCCATGCTACTGCCTCAAGAGATTAACACTGGTTGTTCTATCAACACAAAACTCTAGCCCCTGATGTCCACATGGCTAAATACCTACTTACTTGGAGCCTTACTTAGATTATCACGAAGGCCTTATGTTGACCCCTATGTCACACTGCAGTCTTCCTCACTCTCCAGTCACATCCTTATACCCTTTCCTTGTTCTGCTTGGTCATTGGTCTTAAGTATCTTCTAACCTTCTAACATTGCCTACCACTTTATTTATTGTGATTTCTTTCTACCTCTGCCTCTAGAATGTAAACTCCACAGGACTGATACCTTTGCTTCACTGACATATCCCTGGTACCAGAACAAGGCCTACACATTTTGTGGGCTCCACATATAGTATTTGTATTAAATAAATAATTACATAAGTGAAGGCGATAGCTCTTCTCCCTGTGTAAAGTATGCAGCTGAATGAGTTGATCCCTGAGGTCACTGACATATCCCAATCACACAATGTCCCTAGAACAGAGATGAAGTAACCAACCTGCCACTTTCAATTCCAAATTGGCCTCTTCATAGAAGGCTCCCTTTTTGAAGAAGCAGGTGTACATCCCATTGTCAGAAACTCGAACCTTGTGGATCTTCACAGCAGCCTCCCCCTGGGTGAGGAAGTCCCTCACCAGCGAGGTCCTCCCTGCATACTCTGCCATCTGCTCCTCGTTCTGCTCCCATTGGTTCTGATAGATGAACACTGCTTCTGAGAACTTTGTGCGGAACCACCTGAACTCCATGTTCTCCACATTTATGACTGGGGACACAGAGCAGGGCAGTGTGACATCCCCATCCAGCAGTGCCACAATAGGGTCTGAAGGACCAAGCACCAGGAACTCCTCTGTGAACACAGACATTGGAATGAGAAAGCTGAAGGACAAAGGACAAGGAGCTGAGAACACGCAGCATCAGGTAGGATGGCCAGGCAACCCTGGAGGTGGGGGCAGGTATAGAAGTGGGATGAAATGATCACCAGGCCTCATGAATTGAGCATCCATGACTGATTTGGGTGAGCTCTTCTGACCCTAAATGTACCTCAGAAATTATGACAGATATTCCCTCATCAGGCTGTGCTATTGTCCCCAAGCCCTTCCAGGAAGAACTATAATCCAGTAGTATTCAAGTGTGAGCACACACCTGATCAAAGGACACCTTGTAAAGTACAGATTACTGGGCCCCACACCAGAGTGTCTGTTTCGGCAGGTCTAGGGGGTCCCACAAATGGGCATTTGAGAAGGTTCCCGGAGAAGTTGAAATTGTTGGTTAGGTACCACATTTTGAGAACCACAACTCTAATATGGCTTGTCAAGGCAAACCTGAAAACTGACCAAATAGCATACATACAGTCTAGGTTAGCAGTCTTTGATCATCCAACCACACCCAGAAAACTCCCCATTCTCAATCCTCCTTCACTGAATTACATATGAACTTTAAACCACAGAGTCAAATGGTACTTCTGTGAAAAACCTGCCCTCCTTCCTCACAGGAGCCCAATCACTCATGTTCACTCTAACCACTCAGTGCACTTGGTTCGCTGAGGACAGGTGGACAGGCCACAGCCTGCCTTCTCCTGCTATGGGCCTCCACAGATCTATTTCCACCCAGGACCTAGCCATAGTCACCACTCACCTGAAGGACAGTAGTAGACTAGGACCCCTGTTTGTTCTCTCTTAACTCCCATATTTGTGATCCTTTTAATACACAGGCTAAATAATGTCACTACTCTCCTCAAAGCCATGCCATTTCTTACCAGTCCACCTGGCAAGTATCCCAGGCCCAACAGGGTTTACCTCCACCATTATCACTCCAAACCCAACTCACACTTCTCTCCCCATGGCTCATTCTGCCCCCTCTGGCTCGCAATGCCTTCCTCTGCTGTCTCCACTCCCCAAGCACACTTCCAGCTCTGCACTGGCTGCTCCCTTCAGCTACCATCTTTGTCAGGAGGTCCTCACAGCAGTGTCACTCCCATCCTCCAATGACAGGCCTCCAGCTCACCAGCTCACTGAGCACTGCTTCCTGCCCAGACCAACATCTACACACCTGACTGCACTTATGCTACCCTACTTCATTTCCCACCACATTCACCTAAGCCTGATTGGTTTGTTGCATTTATTTTTTCTGTCTCTTGCTAAGATGTAAGCTTTATAATGATGAAGAATCTCTACCTGAATAGTTCATAGGACAGACTGAAAATATAATCAATATTCTTTTAATATTTGCAAAATATAATGAATGAATGAAAAACAAAAAGCAAGAAAGCTGAAGATGAGGGAAAGGTGTTTAAAAATTTTTGATATTTTGCATTTTTAATCAACAAAACACTTGCCCTTGGACAACTGTCAAAATCCAATACACTTATTTTATGAATAAGTATCTCATCCACCTTTAACTGCTTTGGGGACATGGTCTGGTTTGATAGTCCAGGCTGACCCCAAACTCATGATCTTCCTGTCTCAACTTCCCAGATGCTGGGTTTATAGATGTATGCCACCACACTCAACAAATCTTAATTTTTTAATTAAAATGTATGGTAAGTTTGTGCCATGGTCTTTAAAGCCTGGAACTCCAAAAATCTCATCCATTCCTGACCAGCAAAGCACTTGTGGGCTCCTATTCACTGGAAGGAGACACAGGAAGAGAGATAGGGACATACTTACCAGTGGATGCCCAGGAGGGTAGCTGGATAAGGAGAAGCAGGGAAATGAGATGGAAGGGCAAGGAGGGCCTGCAGCAGTTCTCCATGATGTCAGCTGGGGAGAGAAACAAGGGAGTCAGACCAAGTCCTACAAGCTGCAGGCAGATCTAGCCCAGAGCTCTGGCACCTCAGCAGGGAGAGCAGAACTCAGGGTTTGGGTCAGCCCTTGCAGGAACAAAGCATTTCCTACTGACTACTCATTCTAACAGGGTACTGGGTCTTTCACAATCCTGACACTGACAAATTGCTCAGCTTGGGCTCCTCCACGCACTTTAGGGAAGACTGTGATGTTAGAGAACCACTCCTTCCCTTCCCAGCCCAGTCCCAACCACAGTGCACCCCTGCTCTACCCAGAAAACCAGACCCTTCCTTTCTTGACACCTTCAGCCTCACAGTAATGCCATGCCTCATCTCTCCATTATTTACACAATACGTGTGACCCCAGAACAAAGGACCCACACCCAGACCTCACCCCATGAAGGGCATCCAGCTCCTGCTTGCCTGTCGCCCTAATTGTGATTGGTCTTCTTTGGACAGTGTCAGAGACAGACACATCTTCAAGGGCACCAGCACCCTGCCCTCCATTTTTGTTGAGCAGTTCCCCAAACTTCAATTCTCCCCCAGTCCCTTCTATAAGCTCAGGACATGACCCTTCACTTGACAAATATCAATCACTTCAGACAGAGAAAGAGAGAGAGCGAGGGAGAAAGAGCGAGAGAGACAGAAAGAGGAGGGAGAGATTAATCCTCATGCTCTCTGTCTTTGTGGAAGATTTCTATATGAGAGGTACAGAACCCTTGCTGGAGCCATTGCTGCAGAGAAGATACATGAGCCTTTGTCTGCCCCAAAATACCTGCAATTTGGAAGGAAGGGAAAGGTAACCAATGGTCCTAGGAAGGGCAGATTATAGGGGCAACACTAGGGCTGCCCTCCAGGCTCAGCCACTGTGCATGTGATCCTCTCGTCATCAGTTTCCTTAGCTACACAATGGGTATATTTATAGCATCTCCCTCCCAAGATTGCACTGAGGATAGCATGATTTTATATTTATAGTCACTATATACAATTACATTGGGTCCTGCTCCTAGGAACTGCTACAGAAATATCCTTAAAACAAGAAATAATCCTCACTGAGGTTTCCTAGATCTCTCAAGAACAAGACAGTTCCACATGCCTGCTCCCATAGCTGCTTTTGCCCCCAGCATTCTCAGCATCTTCCTGCCTCCAGCTGGGCCTGGTGTCTTCCTCTTGGCCCAATTGTGTCTTCAAAGCCAACTTACCTGCTCCTCTTTGCTCCCAGCTTTGAAAGGCTGTCACTTCCTAAAGCATCTCAACACAGTAGCTGGAGAAACTTCAGTCCCAGAGACACCAGGCAATCCCAAATCTTCCCTCAGAGTTTCACCTGCCCTGAGCAGCTCTCACAGAGCCAACCCCTACTTCCAAACCCAATGTGGCTCAGGATTCCACATCTGACAGTAAGATGGTTCCCAGGAGAGTGGAGAAGTTGCCATGGCGTCTGCTGAGACTCTCACACAGGGGACCCGCTAAGCCCTCCCAACAAGAACATCCCCTCTCTGTCTCCTTCCACCATCAAAAGCGAAAGCTTGCCAAAGCAGCCTGGGCAGCATGTGTGCCCTGCCCTGTGGACATTGCTTCCTTTATCAGGAAGAAAGGAGCTGGAGCAGAGCAGCAAAAAGTTCCCCAAAGCAGTACAGAAAAACTCCATTTACAGGTGAAATGTAACCACCACTGCTTAATGCCACCACCAACCCCTGCCCACAGGCTAGAACTCCCAAGGCCTAGAGACCTCAAGGAAATGTCAAGAAAAGACAGAAAAAAGGAAAACAAAATATTACTGAATTAGTCAACATTGATTTTACTTATGGCATTTAGTTGTCAAGATGGCAAACAAAGATGAAGTTTGAGGTCTGTCATCCAGTTACATCAATCTGGTAACTTCCTAGTTGAAGAAGGGGCTAGATCCTTCCAGGACACTGACCTTGCCCCCTGTCCCCAACCCTTCAGCACACCCCACACAGCTCCAGATATTTCAAAGTGAGCATGAGTCAGTAAGGGACCTTGGACTCCAGATAGCTCAGTTATTGTGTGGTCACAAACCTTATCTCGCCTGATCCCAGCTCTTTGCTCTTCACCCTGGGAGGAGGGAGTGAGAGACAATAAATCACAGGTCAGATTTTCTTTGAGAACACAGCAGGACTTGAAAACCACTGGCCGAGGACAATGAACACGGACGCTGTCGTCTCCTAGCCCATTAGGATCACCTCCACAAATGATTTTTCTTGAAACATAAATGATCCTAATGATCTGGGTGCCAGTGGCTCATGCCTATAATCCTAGTTACTCAGAAGGAAGAGATCAGGAGGATTGTGATTCAAAGCCAGGTGGGGAAAACAGAGACCCTATCTCAAAAATACCCAATGCACAGAAAAAAAAGGGCTGGTGGAGTGACTCAAGTAGTAGAGCACCTACCTAGCAAGCTTGATGCCCTGAGTTCAAACCCCAGTACCACCGATAAATAAATAAATAAATGAGGCTAATGGGGTTAATAGTTTGCTTTACTTTTTAATAGACATGTAATACCTCTTTTACCTATTTCAAGTGCTGTCTAAGTAGCTTCAGGTAAGTGCTAAATTATGAATCAATGGCTAATGTACAAAGCATAAAATGTACTGGGATTCTAAAATGTGACAGGTGATGTGAAGTGCTCAGCCCCTTTCCTCAAAGGCTCAGTCCTACAAAACTTAATTTTTCTCAACAAGGTTAACAGGAGGAGTTCACTGGTTATCTTTTATTCCATGAAAATGTTTAAAGACCTGTTTGCTGACTGCTTCTTTCTAGGGAAACAGAAAAGAAAAACACAAGTTGGTGTGTTTTATTTCTTTGTTTTTTCTTTTCTTTTCTTTTATTATTCTTGTGGGGGTTCATAGTGGCATTTATAAAAGTTCTTACAATATATCAAATATATAATACTTGAAATCATGCTTCTTTATCCCCCCTCCCCCCCATGGTGAGTTTTATTTCAACCTAAAATTTTTCCCTCCAATCTTTATCCCTCATGAACCTGGTTGCTAGGTGATTGCTCAGTAGCCTGCTGAGCAGAGTCCCCAAGACAGTGATGCCATCCCCTCCTCTGAGCCTGCCCATCTGCCCCTGAAGAGACCCTTCTCAGCTGAACTCTCAAGCCCACAACGGAAATATTCAGTCACAGGTGGCCGAGGGACTTCTGATGCCTCTTACTCTTTCAGAAGAGGGCTTGGCCCAGCCCTGACACAGATAAAATTTAACTAAGAGTGAAGCGCTGTTAAATACTGCTAAAACACTATTAATGTTAACAATATGCCTTTATAGTACACCCCTTTTAACGTTTATTTTTCCTTTAAAGAAGCAAAATGTTGATGGCTGGGCATTTGTCTCCTTCATTGGCAGCTGTCCAACCCTCCCTGGGTGTCCCACTGCCTTGAGCAGAGAACTATCTGCTAAGCAGCCTGAAGAACTGGGCTTTTCCAACAAACTGTGGATGTTTGAGCAGCTTACCAGCAACCACAGCTCTTGCTACTGAAGCACAACTATGGCTGCACGAGGCACAATCCAGCCATGACTGTTTCAAATAGCTGGCCCAGAGCCAGACCCACTTAGCCTGTTGGTGAATGTAGTCTGCACGTTCCTCCACAATGTCTGAAGTGTTTACACGTGTACAACAGGAAGTATTGGCAATGGCACATACCCCTCCTTATTTAGCCAAAGAAAATCTAGGGCCAGGCGGTGGTCCATGACCATACAAACAAGGGACGAAAAAGACCTTTACCCATCCTTTTTTTTTAATTATTCATATATACGTACAATGTTTGGGTATTTCTCCCTCATCCCCCACCCCTCCCTTACCCCCTCACCCCCTCGCTCTCCCCACCAACCCCACACTGCCCGACAGAAACTATTTTGCCTTTATCTCTAATTTTGTTGAAGAGAGAGTATAAGCAAAAGTAGGAAGGACCAAGGGTTTCTGCTAGTTGAGATAAGGATAGCTATACAGGGAGTTGACTCGCATTGATTTCCTGTGCATATGTGTTACCTTCTAAATTAATTCTTCTTGATCTAACCTTTCCTCTAGTTCCTGGTCCCCTTCTCCTATTGGCCTCAGTTGCTTTTAAGGTATCTGCTTTAGTTTCTTTGCGTTGAGGGCAACAAATGCTCTCTAGTTTTTTAGTTGTCTTACCTATCCTCATACCTCCCTTGTGTGCTCTCACTTTACCATGTGATCAAAGTCCCATCCCCTTGTTGTGTTTGCCCTTGATCTAATGTCCGCATATGAGGGAGAACATACGATTTTTGGTCTTTAAGTTAGGCTAACCTCACTTAGAATAATGTTCTCCATACAATGGAGAAATAGCAGCCTCTTCAACAAAAACTGCTGGGAAAACTGGTTAGCAGTCTGCAAAAAACTGAAACTGAAACTAGATCCATGTATATCACCCTATACCAATATTAACTCAAAATGGATCAAGGATCTTAATGTATCAACTCTAAAGTTGATACAGGAAAGAGTAGTAAATACTCTGGAATTTGTAGGTATAGGTAAGAACTTTCTCAACAAAACCCCAGCAGCACAGCAACTAAGAGATAGCATAGATAAATGGGACCTCATAAAACTAAAAAGCTTCTGTTCATCAAAAGAAATGGTCTCTAAACTGAAGAGAACACCCACAGAGTGGGAGAAAATATTTGCCAACTATACATCAGACAAAGGACTGATAACCAGAATATACAGGGAACTTAAAAAACTAAATTCTCCCAAAACTAATGAACCAATAAAGAAATGGGCAAGTGAACTAAACAGAACTTTCTCAAAAGAAGAAATTCAAATGGCCAAACAACACATGAAAAAATGCTCACCATCTCTAGCAATAAAGGAAATGCAAATTAAAACCACACTAAGATTCCACCTCACCCCTGTTAGAATAGCCATCATCAGCAACACCACCAACAACAGGTGTTGGCGAGGATGCGGGGAAAAAGGAACCCTCTTACA